ACCTGCATAGAAAACTCCGCAACTAGCCTCAGTAAAGGGAAAGAGGCCTATTTACCTATTTCCAGACTAGTATTGCACCTTTTTGCACACTATTAATGACTCAGTTCCTTCTCCTTCACCTGACCTCGAGCGGGTGCAGGATGATTGCATTCCGAGCTCATGCCGCCGTCGACTGTTACTGTTACATGGAAAAGCTGAGCAAGAGCGAGCACCCAAGGTTTGCCTTATCCTGGCGTGCTCTGGGACCTAGGAAAGAAAGCGAACAGTTACCTGGCACTATAGGACTCCCATACACAACACGGGATACCCTTTGGTGCCGCAGTCTATTCAGTAAGATCAAATTCGTTCACAGGTAATTTATTCATTCCACTTTTATTTTAGAAATCACTAATTACAAACATAGTTGATTATAAGCAGTTCCATCAAAGTTCAAGTATCGATGTCAAAAAGAGAAATTATTTACGACTCCATCTGGTAATGTGTAAGCCGCAATCGAATATTTCTTAACACCATTTCGGATAGACTCAGGAGCAAAGTAGGAAGACGCAAAAGCAGACGTAAAGAAGAAGTGATTCCGCCTTATCACCGGCAGGCTTGAAGCAAACAATCGAACTAAATGAGGAGTTTTTCTCAGCTCAAAAGAAAGGCTTAATTTCACGGTATTCAATGAATGCCTGGTGGTGACTGGCTTAATTCGCTTCCGCACCGTAGTCGCCTCAAACAACAACCCCCACCTGCCGCATGATAAAATGCATTCGATTTCAAGCACAACGATCGAACAGGGCACTTTGCGAGCTTGCTTAGAGTTATCTACACATCAGTCTTTTATGAGAGAGAAGTAGCGGACAGAGCGAAGTAACGGACAAGATTGACTCGGGCAAACAAATTTGATTGGCGACTTCGTTAAGACTTAATTGTTCACCTAATTGTCAGTGCTTACAAACCTCCGCAGTGGTAAACTACCAGCGCCTTTTGCTTTTCATCAGAACGCCACCTTTCAACAGTCAACCATATGGTCCCTTTGCTAGGGGAAAAAGGGATTTTCAGACATAAGTCT